GACGGCGCTCGGCGCGCGTTCCACCCCGGGGTGGGTGCGTCGTCCCGTGGCGGCGAGGACGGGGTTTCTCACGACGACCGCCCTCGCCAAGCTGTTGCCCGCGCGCAGTCAGCCCCGACCTCCGCTGCTTCCCGCCCTTCTTCCTTCGCAGCTTCGGCGAATGCTCGCCCGGCGGCGACGGGCCAGCGCCCGATCTCTGGCGCCACGGACCGGCCGGGACGCCTTGGCGGAGGCGGCCCTTCTCGCCGTGTGCCCGGCCCTGTGACCTCGTCCCAGGGGCGCGGCAGCTCTACGGTTTACTCGCAGTCTGCGTCTTCCCGAGTGCGCGTCGTCGGCTATGCCTCCCGCGAGGGAACGGCGGCCGCCACGGTGGGGGGACCTGCCGGGTCGTCTTTGGCCCCTGCTAGGTTCACCCGGATCGGGGAACGGTCTTCACAGCCGCCGGCGGGAGTAGGCGGCGCTGGGGTAAAATCAGTCGCCATCACCTCGAACATGAGCGGCGAAGCAGTCTACAATGCACTGGTCGCTGTGGGCATCTCGCTTGTGTCCAAGGCGTCCCTTCTCGGGGTTCTCATGTCCGCCGTGGCACCCTCACACGAGGAGTCACGCCAGCCGCTGGTGAGGTGTTAGATCTTAGTTCGCAGTTGTGCCTTCGTTTCGTTTCGCATGTGGGTGTGTTACCACGCGTCTTGTTGAGTGTAGTATCACGCCCTGTTTTTTTCGTCCGCATGATGCCCCCCGAGCCCCTCCTGGTCGAGTTGGAGTGTGGTATCACGCCCTGCTTTTTTGGTCCGCGTGATGTGTTCCCCGAGTCCCTGCTAGTCGACTTGCGTGACGTTGCACAAATAAAAAAGCAAACCCCGCCCGCTCGCTGAGTTCTATACATTGTTCTTGATATTGAACTCCTGCCCACGCGGCCGTTTCTACTTGTTTTTGCCGACGTTCCCGTTGACTCTGCAGGACAACTCCAACAAGCGCAAGCGCGAAAGAGACCTGGTGAAGGGGGAGCGCTCCTCCAATGGAATCGTCGCTGCCATCTTCTGCGTGTACAGCTACGCCTTCATCGGCCCCTCCAAGGGGCACTTCTCTGGGGGACAGCAGAGCAACGAGACGAACAACGTCTTCCTCGCGGCGGCGTCACGCGTGTGGGTGCCGGCCCAACAGGGAGACCCCGACTGGCTCGGTGAGCTTTTTCCGAGATTTTATTATCTCAGTCTATACACTTCATTCAGATTACGTATTTAACATCGGCAGTGCCACTGCGTTGCCCTACGTTTGCTCCACAGCTGTGCTCTCGTGTTGTGCTCGTCGACTGGTGTAGAATAGGCGGTAAGCAGGAACACAGTAGTGGGACGTCCCACGTCCCGCCTTGAGTGTGTCTATGACTACGTGCGTGTACGAAAGCGTGACATCTTGTTCGCTAACGCTTGCGTTGCAGATTTAGGAGTTGCACGCGCACTGTGCCAAGTGTTAGTCTCAACTCGGACGCACGATTGGTAGCCAACCACCCAGCACATGATCGCTTTCGTGCACGCAGTGCTCCTCTTCGATGCCTTCGCGTAGCCAATCAGCCGTGCTCTTTGTTCGACTAACATGACTTTGTTTCTCTTCCTGGCGTTCCAGAGAGGTTCTTCGCCGCCATCATGTCTGCTCGCGCCCAAATGCACGGGATCTTCCGCGAGGCCCTCATCCCGCTCGCTCTCTACCTCATCGAGAAGGAATGCACCGAGAACAACCCCTACACGCTGGAGGACATCTTCCGGGGCGCTCGAGAGCGGGCGCGCGATCTCGAGCCGGACATGAAGGCAAGTCGTGGGTCTAAAGGGTCAACACAGCACGAATACTACGTGGTCTACACCCGTTGCACACCCGACATCACGCCCGCTTCCTCTGATGACATCACAGCATCGTTAACCCTTGGAGTAGGAGTATAGAAAAACATGTTTTGGTCCGTCGTCGACACACGCCATAAACAAGAGAGAGCGACACACATTTTCATTTCAAGATCGTATACCTCGAGCTGTGCGGGCATCCGATTGCTCCCTGTGCTCTGCGAATCGAGTACGGAATTGGCGGGTACTCAGCAAGGCGGGCCTTTCCCCTTTCGTGGCTCCGTAGTGTGACCCCCCCCGCAGTACGTTGCTTCCAGGTAGCCGATGTGCGATTTCAAGTAATTGCTTGCACCCCGTCGCCCCCCGAGGGGGGGGGGGAACCCCCGTCACTACGATTTTAACCACGGCGGTGACGACACCGTTATTTCGCTGCTTTTTTTCTGCCGCCAACACCGACCGCAGCCAGTGCAGGACTTCGTGCACTCCGCCCTGGAGTTGCCGGTTTCTGCCGCGCGGAGGGCGACGGGAAAGGGCAACCTGAAGGCGTTCCACGTGTTCGGGGGACGCGATCTCGACAAGCAGTTGACGCGGAAGGTGAGAACACCCGTACCGTTTCCAATACCATCCACTTTGGTTCGTAGAGTTTGAAGGGTAGAAGATTGGCTCTAGCCTCGGCCTCAGAACTCACGGCGCCACAAACTCTGGAGCGTCAATTATCTCTTGGAAATACCCTACTAACCAAAAGACCCCTTCACCCTTTTGTCCCATCGCCGCCGAACAGCTCGCAGTGCCGCTAGCCTTGCACATGCTCTGCGACGCGGAAGGACAGCAGGTGCTGCCCGCCGGGGAGATCGAGACCAACCAGTGCCTCGCGGAGCGGAAGGTTGCGGCGTTCGCTGAGCGCGTGAACGGAGGATTCAAGACCAAGAAGGCCCGGGAGTTCCAGAACGCGTGAGTTGGTCTTCATTGGTATTGACAGATACTTGTTTTCAGGACGCGAATGACTGTACCACGGGATAACCTTGTGTGTCCTCTGTACGAACGTGGCGCCGATGCGAGTGCGTTGTTCTTGCACTCGGATACTCCACACCCAGTCTTGCCCATGCAGCCTCGTACATGGCTAATAGAGGTTCGCACTAACTTGTGCTGAGAGACCGTTCACATCAGTGCTTGTTTTGTTTTGTGTGTATCAGACACGCACCGCGGAACCAAATTTGCTATCGCTGCGTGTTCTCACACCTTCCGTTCTGTGTTCGTGCTCTTCCTCGTGCAGCTTGTGGTACCACCTGTTCACATTCGCCACGGGACAGTTCCGCTTCGCCGAACCCATCCTACGCGTCCCGCGGGAGGACTTCTCCAAGCGCAACCTCATCGCCTACATCGCGCCGTTCGCAAGTAGGTTTTAGCAGGGTTAGCAGGTCGACTTTTACCTGCCATGTCAACACAGCTATTTCAGCGCTTGGCTAATTGACAAGAGGATAAGTGCTCCCCCGAGACGTAAATCCAACTCTTTCTGATCCAAGAGAAGCCGCAACATATCTTGTAGTCCCCATTAAACTTGCGTCTTGATCGTGGCTTATTGCAATCCCAACGCACTCGCTCTCCTTTTCAATTCCACGAACGAACGCAGGAGAGGAAACCGGCCTCTCTCCCCGCGAGAAGTCGAAGGCAGGCGAGAAGGACATGGTGGTTCGCGAGACGCCCTTCGACCGACCCGAAGATATTCTCGTTGAGGACAGTGACCTGCAGGAGTACCTCGACAACATGTCATCCTAGAACATCGGCGGCGCTTGTAGTGAGAATGCACTACGAGTTTTGAGGGGGGGGGGGGGTAGCTATCCTCAACACTTTGCTCTTTCACAGCTCCACAGCTGTATTTTCTGCTCTAGGGCTTTGTGACGATGTCGGTCAAATGTCCACGTACTGTGTGGAACTCGAAGTGACCTGCTGCGTAGTTTTTTGTGTGATAAAACGTTGTGGCGAAGCGCAGAACTGCGCGGTAGTGGTCATGGTGTGTGACGCGTTGCTCAGGGTGTCGGCTGTTGCGTTGTTTCTTGATCGGTCAAACACACCAGCGTTCGCGGTTTTAATCTTTGCGCGTCTCATTCCCGAATTTGCACGTCCTCACGGCCCTATGGTATTCCACCAGAAATCTGTAGATTTACATGCATCTAACTTAAGCAGGCAGTGGGTGGTTAGGCAACGACGGGAGGCTCCGCCGGCTTCGCGCGGGCTGGGTATCATCATCAGAGGCGAATACTACCATGAAACGTCGTGGTGTTGGATGACATGATGAGCAATTCTTGCGTGTGGTGGTCACCATGGTGTGATATTGCTGCTGGGGTGAAGCCTGGCGCGATGATCAAGCGTGCTTGTTCTGGTAAGATCTACTGAAGTTGAATATTTATGTCGGCTGGGGTAGCCCGTTTTGTCTGTGCGTGATGGCTTGAACTTTGCCGGCTCTGGGGGGGTAGTAAGGTATTGATATATCACCTTGGCGGGTGCAAGTCTGACGAACATTATGTGGGATGATAGCGATTTGTACGTTTTTCGTGCTGGTGATGACATGATACGTTTTTTCTCTTCGAGTATATATACTTTTCCATGCTGCTCATTGACGCGCAGCGTGTTATTCTGTGCTTTCGTTGCTCGTTGCTCTTTTTTTGCTCTTGCTTGTCCGTGTCATCGAAGGCGTCGCGCCCAGAGTCCGTAGTATGTCCTTTTCTGTCTCGAATGTTGCTTTTTTCTGTTTTTTTTTGTTCTTTTCTCTAAATCTTATGTGTCACGCGTGTAGGCTTCAGGGGGTGCGGGTTATAGTGTGCGCATCTTTCAAAAAGGAGAGGGCTTTGTATCGCGATGTACTGTACGCACTTTGACTGGTCGGCGTGTCACG